GTTATGCAATATTAAAATTTCCTCCATAACCTAAAAAAAAAGGTAAAGCAGTCCAAAAATACTGCTTTCCACCACAAGTTTGCATGATTGAGATTTGAACATCAAAATTGCTGGGTTTTACCCAAGAGTTACTATTGTTAGCACTGTAATATTATATGATCTCCTTACATTTTTGTTTTCATGTGATGAACTGTAACTGTAATTAAACAGAATTCTGACAATCATATTCTTTGAACCTTTAAAATGTCACTTATTCCTTTATTTATTGGCTTGCTATTTTCAAAATAAAATAAAAGAGGCCCTTTATTAAATGGAAGATTGCTGAGAATTCATTATGTATTTCTGGTGCTTTCCTAACCCTGTGTTATGAAGGACATCATTTTTACTTGGTTGACTCTGGTTTGGTGGAATTATGGAATGTTAATATGGAAAATGACATTGGTGACCAGCACTTTTATTTCCAGTAAAGTGATATCCAGTTTTATTAAGTGGCTTTCACAACAGCACACAACTGGAAAACAGTTTTTCTCCAGCACTAGGCTAACCCTTTAATTACAAAGGAAATTATTGAAGGTGAACATTTGCTAGAAAAACATTTCACATCAAGAGTGAGAAGCATGCAGTTCTGACCACACTAGCTACCAGTGACTTCCTTATTACATATTTCCATCCCATGGCCTTGGTCACTGGCATTTAGATTGCTCAAGAAATACACTTACAGAATCCATTTCTCAAGTTTAATCTTTAAATCTTATCTGGGCTGCTCTTTATGGTTTGCTAGATTAATTTATTAGTAGTATTGTCTTTTCTTTCGGAGAGTTATGCCTTTATAGAGAGCTTCCATAATATGAGAGAAATCAAAGTGAACGAGAGAGCTGGCATTAGAGATATTGAACGTCACAAGACACAGCCCAATAGTAGTAATGCTGTTATTTTTGTAAAGTACAAACAAAGAAAATGAAACCAAATAATTCCCCAAAATGGCAAAACTTCTATCCTTTCTTCCAAACTAGTCAAGAACTATATTAAACAAAGTTACTGAATTTTTATATCGATTGGTGAATTATTAAAATAAAAGTTTAAGTAAGAACTGGATAAAATAGCTAAACATTCAGGGAAATATGAGTTATCCTATTAATCAGGGTGTTTTAGGAAATCAGGCTGCTAAATTATAGGCTCTCAAAGGCCAATCACTGAACACTTATTGAGTGCTGACTACCTACTACACCAAGCTGAAAACATGCCACATCTCCCTCCGGCACTTGGTTCTTGCTGCCTTTTCATTCCTTTTGCTATGCTTCACGGAAGAGGAGGGTGGGGGTGGGAGCAGCTGACAGCACATGGATATGGGGCCTTCCCTAGGAGAGGACATGGAGATGGCTAGACAGCTAGACGTAAGGAGGTAAGGGAAGGCAAGAGAGGCCACCTCCCAGCTTCCAGTCCTTTCTCAAAGCTGTTCTGAATTTCTTCCCTTCTCCTCCTCCAATCTTATTCTCTCTCTCTCTCTCTCTCTCTCTCTCTCTCTCTCTCTCTCTCTCTCTCTCTCTCTCTTTCTCTCTCATTAGACACTGCTTTTTTATCATAAGAAATTATTATACAACATAATCTAACATAATTCCAAAATTATCTCTTGCTATTTGTATGATACAATTTTTTAAAACCTCTTTTTAAAGAATTTCCTCTTCCTCTCTTGACACAAACCGCATAAGACAAAATATGCACTTGAGTCACAGAGTGCAAAATATGCACCTGTTCTACATATCTTATACTCCACTGAATATTCGCAAACTTTCCTTCTAAGGTAGCCCAATATGTGCTGTGGAGGATGTCATTCAGATTGATGGGCACCGGTCCAGCCAATCAGTCAGAGTTGTAGCTGTGCTTTCCCCCCACGTCTCCTTATTTTCCAAGCTGCTTCTATACCTCACCTGGACTTGCTTCTGAACAACTCACATTGTTCAAATAAATTAACTGCTTATTTCATAACACTGTGTCAGCCTCCATTGCTTAAAACCATTACTGCCAACTTATACAGCCACAAACCCAAATATAACAGGCCTGTGCTTGTCCGCTCCACCACTCTGGGCACTGGTTACACACTTGCCATCTGGGGCTTTGTGTCCTTTTATAGCTGGATGTTTTCTAGAATTGATTCCAGGTCTTACGTTTCCCTCTTTTCATTTTTCTGGATAAAGGGAGACATCAAGATGACAGCTCTGTGGAAAGAACCACAGCTTCTGGGCCCAAGTCAAAGATCTTGAGTAACTTTTCTGGGAAGGTGAGTGTTGGAATATCTGTTGCACCGGAAGCTCCAGAGATCATGTAGACCAAGCATGTCAAACTCAAAGGCTAACACGGGCCAAATAAATGAGGCATGCGGCCCGCGGGCCGCGAGTTTGACATGCTTGATGTATACCATTGTTGAAGAGTCTGACATAAGCTTATGGTAAATACAAGAATAGTCAACTGAAAAGAAACAACTAATCACTCTGGGTGGGGAAAAAAGTTCTGTAGAAGAGAAGGCGGTTATTTTTACCATGTGATTCAACTGAGAAGAGTATTAACAAAGTCATAAAAAAACAAATATGGAAACAATCAAACTTTAAGACAAATATTTTTGAAAGATGGTCATATGAGAAAGGTATTCATTCACATGCCATGAGTTTATGGGAATAAGACATCAACAAATCAATAAAGAATGTCCTAAAATTGAAAAAAAAATCTGGTAGTAATATAAGCGTGCTATTCAGAGAAGTAGAGAGAAATTAAACAATCAGAAGAAGTGAAATGTGTCGTCTTGACGGAGGGAAATGGGAAGGGCAAGGAACGATTTTTTGTAGAAAACCCCACATAGCACTCTGACCCTGAACTGCACCCACTTATAAAATGCACTGAGTGCTGCATCGAGAAGCTACAAAGTGCCAGTGGTTTGCATTGCTCTGCATGTAACACTCCCTGTTAATGTTATTCTGTAGAAAATCTTGCCTAATATTATTTGGTGGCAAATGAAACTAATGATCATGGAGCACTGCATGTTATTCATTCAAACAGAGAATACAGTACAGTATGTCAAGGTGAGCATTTGCATGCAAAACCCCAAAGTCTGAAATTACCCATAAACCTGGAAAAATGTTCTAAAAGAGGGTAACTATATAACATCATTCAAACAGGGAAAATAGGCAATAAGTGGGAAATATTGCAGACATGTATCACCCATACCCCCAATTTAGATCTTTTCTTATACCTTACAACAGCGTTAGTACTTTAAACTGGGAAAAACATAATATGTAAACCAACCTTGAACACTTATACAATTTCCTGAGCAAGCACTGCAGTTATTCTAGAAATTCCAGGTCTGCCTGTGACTATCTATCACTAGCAATAGAAAAGTGGGTGTTTTTTTTTAAACTCGTCTTATTTTTCAGATAAATGTATGAAAGCCTAGAGACTTGGCTTAGAATAATTCCAATGAACAAACCAATGAAAAAAAATATACTAATTTATGAATGTAAAGGTCAACACTTTCTAGACACTACATTCTAATAATGGCCAAACTAATGATGATAATAAAATAAAATAATTGTATTACATGTTTGTCATTTTATATTTTTCAAAGATATTTTCTTATACTTTCGTGGAAAGAAGCTAAACTTGATGTTCACAATTTAACATCTCCACCTATACTTTATAAGCATCTTAATTCTACAATATCTTGGATCAAGCAGTACAAGAATATAGCACATTGTGCCCAGCCAGTGTGGCTCAATAGTTAAGGGTCAACCTATGAGCCAGGAAGTCAGGGTTCGATTCCCAGTCAGGGCACATGCCCAGGATTGCGAGCTCCATCCTCAGTGTGGGGTGTAAAGGAGGCAGTCAATCAATGATTCTCTCTCATCATTGTTGTTTCTAGCTCTCCTTCTCCCTTCCTCTCTGAAATCAATAAAGAAATATATATTTTTTAAAAACATTCTATGCATCTGAATAGTTACTAACTACAAATGAGAGTCCCATCTGCCATAAGCATGATGACAAGTTAAGGACATTTCGGTGCCATTTGCTCAGCACGCATAGAGACCTTTCAATGATGTTTCACGGTCACTCTGATGATAATATAATCAACACCTAATCATGGTAGGTTAATTAGATGCATCCCTTCCCTGACAAAACTATGCATTCTATAACGACATTTAATAAACCTCTCATCAAACAGCAATTTTCTTTAATTGGTTACTTTAATGTAAATATTAAAATAGTGGCATTCAAAGGAAATAGATTTTTATTTAATGTATTATATATCAATATAAATTATATATGTAAAGAAGAATCTTAGGAAGCATCTTGCTTCCTAAGTAGCACCTTGCAAAAAAAGATTTAAAATATAATTTAATTCAATTCTGACCTTTTATTCAGTGGATCTGTTTTTATCTCTTTCCTTATTAACAACCAGAATAGCAGGTACAACAAATTGTGTGTGTGTGTGTGTGTTTGTACACTCACACAATATATATATGTACATATATGTGTGTGTGTATAACATATGGCAGTATTTTAAAACTCTAGCAAACTGTGTATAATATTAACGAAAATACAATGAAAGTGCTTTGTTAAGATGTTCAGAGGGGAAAAAAAGGAATGAACAGAATTTCACCAGTTAACAGCTGAGAGTGGAATAGGAATAGTAGGGAGGTCAGAGAAATTTCCACAGGGCTGAGGAGGGCTCAAAATCCCTGAAAAAAATCCTGAACTCTATCATATAAGTAAACTCTCTACCAGACAGAAACAAAGATTATGAATTTTCTAAGAGTTGTGGACAGCCATCTTGGAAGCACAAGAGGGAAGTTCGAATGAGTTAGACCAGTGGTCAGCCAACTCATTAGTCAACAGAGCCAGATATCAACAGTACAACGATTGAAATTTCTTTTGAGAGCCAAATTTTTTAAGCTTAAACTATATGGGTATGTACATTGTTATTAACTTAATTAGGGTACTCCTAAGGCTTAGGAAGAGCCACACTCAAGGGCCCAAAGAGCCACATGTGGCTCGCAAGCCGCAGTTTGCCAACCACAGAGTTAGACCAACACCAGTGAAGTGGATCCAATGCCATGGAAAGGGATCCAGAAGCTGGTTTGTGCCCACACTTGATTTCAGACATGACATTTAAGTCCTGGTCAATAACCTTTGCCTGAAGCTTGACCTCCCCGGAAGGCTCCATTACATGAGTCAGTAAGCTGCCTTTCATGTCTAAGCTAATTAGAGTCGGGTTGACTGAAACATTTCTGTTAAGAATGTTCTCTAGATGGTATAGGTCACCAACACCAGGGAGAACAAGAGCAGGTGGATCTGGTGGTTTGGTGTCCAGGCCAGCAGCAGGGCTTGCACTGTAGCTCGGGGGCAAGACAGACAGGCACCTCTATGCCCTGAGCACAGTCCTGGGATGAGGAAGCAGAAGAGGCTCTGATGTCTTCCAGGCCATCACAGCTGCCCCTTCAGGTCAGAGGTGATGAGACCCATAGACAGGAGATTGTCTTTAACATTTTGTCATATTCTGTTTTGTTAATATACCCACAATTGTGTATGTATCTTATAACTGTTTTTAGAAATTGGCACATAGGCTTCTATTACTTACTAGGTGGAGATTTCATATGTAAATGTAGTACTGAGAATCTTTTTTCCATCATTTTGTTGGGGAATTAAATAGGGTGCTGTTTGGATTGAAAAAAGTAAAATATATTCAGTCTACTGGCATCCAGGGTAGACATTGAATAGTGGGAAGAAATTGTATAAAGATCCATGGATTTAACAGTCATAAGTTTGCTCAGATCAAGAAAAAAGCTTAGGCTCTAGTCTTCGGTCTCCGGGAGAAGGTTGGGTAGTTGACATAAATGTCCTCTCCTGCACCATCTGATGGTTGACTGATGGAGAAGGAACTTCTGTAGTTGTTGGATGCCTAGAAAGACACAGGCAGAGAAGGTGTCAATAATTCACTGTGTCAATTATTCACTAAAGTGTCAATAAGCAGCTAACAAAGACACTGAAAACAAATATCTTCTCCATTCAACTACAATAGAGGTCAAATTTCTATTACAATTAATTTCCTAAAACATCCTCTTTATTATATTGTACTTCTGTGAGAAATTACGTTTTTGACTTGCAGGGCCCCGAGTAAGATGCAACAGAGGCCTGGTCTACATCATCTCTTGCTACCCTGGGTTTATAGAACACCTGTTTAGATGCAAAACTCCCTTTCCAAATGTCAGGGGTTTTGATTAGACCAATTCTCATTTTTATATGGAAAGTCTCATATAGTATTTTCCCATTGTGGGCCCCATTAATTAATTTCTGTTGAATAAATGTCATCAGAGACCATACTTTTTTATTTTATTTTTATTTTTTGAAGTTGTCTTTATTGTTGAAAGTATTACAGATGTCCCCTTATTCTCCCTATTGATCTCCTTCACCCCAACCCTGCCCCCACCCAGGCTTTCACCACACTATTGTCTGTGTCTATGGGTCATGCACATACATACGCATATAGGTTCTTTGGATAATCCTTCCCGAGCCTCCCTACCCCTTTCCCTCAGATTCATCAGTCTGTTCCATGCTTCTATGTTTTAAAGAACAATACATGGTGTCCTTTATTAAAAATAAGCAACTGAACACAATAAATTAACAAAATAAACTGGTAGTGACTTTCAAGATAATGTTATCATTAGAGTGGCTTTGGTGTTTTCAAAGAGAAAGAAAGTTCAAGTGTCATTGTTATTTATATAGCCTGTTGATAAAAAAAAAAAAGATCAAGTAAGTCTAACTTCATCTTAATAGCAGCTTAAAATCTAACTTTATAATCATCATTCAAAATACCATTATTTAATAAAAGCCTGAAAAAGTTGAATACATAATGTAGGAAGTTGCAAAGCTCCTTCCTGCCTCTGAAGTTCACAGCAACAACTGTGGCTTTGTTTTGGCTTGAGTGGGCAACAGCTAAGGACAAAGAACAAATCCCAAAATTGTATAAAACAGACCACTGATTAGCTGGTGCAGGAGTGGCAGGACTTCTTAAGTCATTGTGGTTGGTGCCAAAAAAGTAAGCCATGAATTATTCAGAGAAAAGAAATATTTTTGCAAAGAGTAACTACTTAACAGAAGAAAAATTTAAACTGATAGATTATTGAGAAGTCTAAAGCACACATATTGAATTGTCAGAAACATTTTAGTACTTGGCGTTTTGACTGGGTAGAATTTAACGATAAGTAATTAAGTCAAAGAGAAATGGATGTAATTGTAGATAACACTTGGGCAAATGTTTTAATGTAAAATTCCCTAAACAGAATAATATGTGTTAAAGGGAATATTTGACCCATTGTGGAGACATGAGCATCCCTCTTATCTACAAACACAGATGGAACTTTCTCTTTCCAGTAAACAAAAGTGGGCATATGCAAATGAGGAGGAAATGGTTATACTTCATGAGACATCTGCAGCTCCTTGGAAGGCTCTTTAGCTTTATAATCTGAACATCCATTAATTAATCAATTAAGCAAAAGGTCAGACCATTTATATAATTTAATTTAATCCTCACAATAACTTTATGGCATAAAAATGTAATTATGCCCTGTACTGGGTCAGATAGTGTTCCCCCAAATTTATGTTCTTCCAAGACCTTCATGACGTGACCCTATGTGAAAATAGGTTTGTTATAAACACACACACACACACACACACACACACACACACACTCACACAGGGAAGAATGCCATGTGAAGACAGGCAGAGTCTGGTGTGATGAGGCCACAAGCCACGGAATGTCAAGGAGTTCCAGAAACTCAGAGAGAAGCACGGAACAGATTCTCACCCCAAGGAGGAACTGATCCTACTGAGACCTTTATTTTAGACTTCAACCCTCTAGAACTGCAAGAGAATGGATTTCTGTTGTTCTAAATCACCCACTTTCTGGGTAAATGGTGTGGCAGCCTAGGAAACCAATGCAGATTTTGGTAATGTGCAGTGTTGATTATTATGTTGGTGTGATTGCTCTTTTCTTTATATTAATGTAAAAACAGTTTTGAAGGATATTAATAATAGCAGAATAGCTCAGAAAATAACTATTTCATCAAATAGCTGACACTTAAATTACAGGCAATTGCACAGCCAGTTTGTTGAAAGGAGAATAAAAAAGAAGATTGCTAATTGCCAAATGAACTGAGTTTACAAAACTTTTATGATGTACAAGGAAAGAGGGGGGAATGAAAACTCTGAGAAAACTTACCTTATTCTGTGTGGCCTGGGACTCTTTACCTTGGACACTTTTCTGTCTCCTTCTCTTCCTGGAAATACATTTTCAATAGAGGTATTAAGAATTACACTCCAGACAAATGTTATTTCAAATCCTTTATATGCCTCACCTATGCCCTAGCTCACATGCCCCTAACTAAATACGTTGAAGTAGCTACCCACAGTTACTTTACTAGTATACATACATACTCAAATTTTTTTCATTTTCCCACCTTCTCCAATGTGTTTCCAGATGGTAGAGGCAGCTAAATGAATATCCACCCAGTGGACACTAGTCATTAATCCCAGGAGTTTAGTAAAGAATGGTTCATAGTGGGTTATTACATAAGTAGCTTATGGCCCTCTCCAAATTATTTCAGACTTGCTATCCCACAATTAAAACTTCCTTTTAAATGCTAATGGAATAACTTCTGGGATGCCAATGACAATATAATTAAGCTTTATAAAATCGTCTAGGTGTTTACTAAACCACCCGTATAGGTTATATTTTTTAAATTTCATTTAAAAAAAACACCTCTCTTATTTACCAGGTTGGGGGACTGAGGCAAAGAGCAGAGTAACTTGCCCCAGATCACATGGTTGGTTAGTGGTAGCATCAGATTGGAGTCCATAGCACTCCCTCTTAACGACTATGTTCTGCTCTAGGGCCATGGGTTGCAGTTGACGGGGCAGTCTGGAGCTATGCTCTTAAGTAAATTCTCCAGGTTCCAATTAAACCTTTAAAAACCTAATTTCAAGAGAAGTCTTTGAAAAGAAAATACAGGAAAAGATGAAAAGAAGCTACTGTGATTGAATACATTAGCTTAGATAACTACATATAAGTGCGAAGAATGGTTTCACAGGGAGTTTTGTTC